GGGCATGCTTGGCAGAGTCCAGGAATAGCAAAGAGGCGGGATATGAGGCAGAGAGGAAATGGGTTCCTGTATCAGGCAAGGCTTGGCTTTACCTTTTAGAAGGGAATTTTCTCTCAGTTACCTCCTAAAGGCATCAGGACTATGATTTTGTACCCATTTTATGGATGAGGAAACAAGAAAACTGACGCTGGCAGGAGGCCTCAGTTCCTCACTACACGCACCTCTCCACAGGGTTGATTGAGTGTCCTCATGACGTGGCAGCTTGCTTTCCCCAGCGGGAGAGCACTCTCCTCAATAGAGAGGGCAAGACAGAAGCCACAGTGTCTTTTATTACCTAGCCTCGAAAGTCACACTCCATTGTTTCCACAATATCCTGTCAGTTACCCAGGTCAGCCTGTTTCATGCGGGTAGGGACTACTTGAGATTGCGGCTACCAGGAGGCAAGGATCATTGGGAGCCATCCTAGAGGCTGGTTACCCCAATACAGAGGAGCTATTTCCTTTTCTTTCTTGCTGATAGAATCCTATTTTGTTCAGGTATCCGGTGGAAATTAGGGAAAGTGGGTCCAGCCTAAGAGAGAGAATCATGATGGGTCTCAGTCAATCCTGGCAGAATTAAAATAGCAGTTTCTGCCAAGGCTCCAAGATACAGTAGATGCAGCACACTAGAGAAGGAATAAGACCATCTGCAGAATTTATCTAGGAGTCAGCCAGAAACAAGTCACTTGACCCTCAGACTTCTCTCCCCCTAGAGTATACAAAAGTGGGGTTGCTGCAGACTGGAAGAGGATTGGCAAAGAAGATTTATTTAGAGAAAATTGCAGCTGTGCTGTGTGGCCTGTGGTAGGCTGAAGAATGACCCCCAAAGACGGGTGGTTCCCAGTCCCCAGGACCTGTGAATGTCACCTTATATGCAAAAGGGACTTTGCAGATGTGGTTGGGGATCTTGAGACAGGGAGGTAATCCAGACTGTCGTAGGTGGACCCTAAATGTAATCACAAGTGTGAGGCAGAGGGAGGTTTGACTGCAGAAGTAGGGGATGTGACAACCAAGGCAGAGATTGGAGTGATGGGGCCACAAGCCAGGAACTCCAGCAGCCTCTAGACGTTGGAAGAAGCTAAGAGCAGATTCTCCCTTGGAGCCTCCAGAAAGAACCGGCCCTGCCGACACCTTGAGTTTGGTCCTGTAAGACTTACTTTCTACTTCTGACTTTCAGAACTACGGCAGAAAGCTGTGTTGTTTTAAGCCACTGTTGGTGGTGATTTGTTGCAGCAGCAATCAGAAACTAATGCATATCACCATCTCCACCCCCACCCCCCCAAAACAAGGGGAGAAGCAGAGAAAGGGGCTTCAACGGGACCCATCAAAGACCTTGACATGTGTCCCCAGTCATTAGGGGGACTCAGTGAACTGAAGTCTGACTACTGTGTGGAAAACTGAAAACGTGTGATACAGGCTGGTTAGCTGCTCCATGGCGGGAACGAAGGAGCGTGGCTGCACTGAAATCAGAAGGCGGTCTTCACATAGTTTGAACAAAGAATGTGTCAGTGCTTCTGATGGGCCACTCATCCGGGGAAGAGGGGAACAGTAGAGGGGAAGACCTCAGTAGAGGGGAAGCTGGAAGCAGACCATCAGACTCCTAGGGGTACAGAGGGAACGAGTGACCCCCCAGAATCCAGTGTATCCTCCTTCATCCAAGGAAGTGCCTGGATTGAGGCTGGGAGGGCAGAAACTAGTGGTTGGCCAGCTGAGAAGGAAGGACAGGCAGAGAAAGAGGGAGGAAGGACCATATCTTTTGACCCCCACCTCAGCCCATGGCAGGCCACTGGCCATGGCAGGCTCCAGCCAGGGTGGAAGGAGATGTAGCATTATATCAACTTTCACTGACCATAGGGTTTTCTATTTTCTAAGAGTTCTCTGAACACGTCGTAGGGCCTGTCTGTCCTCCATGGACAAAGGAAGGAGGATATCCTCCTCTTGAGCAGGTTTAAAGGGACTGAAGGAGGCAAAAAAGAAATTGTTTTATAACTATACTCCATGAGTCCTACTTGATCAAAGGTACCAATTACAACCAGTCTAGGCCAATCTTGGCGTCCCATTCCTTTTCTCAAATGGTAGGTTTAGGAATGGGTGTTTGCCTCAGTTCTGGCCAATGAAGTTCAAAGAGAAGACTGCTGGAGGGCTTCTGAGAAGTTCCTGCCCTGCAACCCCTTACTTCCTGCTTTGGTCATGGTCACATGAGGTCATGATGCTTGGAGCTGCAGCAGTCATTTTGCAACCAAGAGGAGAGACAAGGAAGGCAGAGAGGAAAGACAAGAATAGCCTGGGTCCTTAATAACCTCATCAAGCCACTGAACCAATCCTGAAGACCCCTACCTCAGACTTCATAAATGAACTAATAAATTTTATAAGGTTTGAGCCATTATTATTTGGGCATTCTGACATTTGGCCAGCCAAACACATCTTAACTGACATGATATTCAAAGTGTAAGAGGCCCCATTCTCTTTATACAAATATAAGATGTTGTTATAGATATCCCCACTTGGATAGCAATTACTACCTTATTGGATATTTCTTGTTTATCTTTATTAACAATAAAGATAACTTTATTGCTCAACTAAAATGAATACTGCATCTCTGTTATACCTAGTTATTGGAAGTTAATGAGCTATTTATACTATTAATTTAAAATTAAAATTTAATAGAAAAATTGTAGCTTTACTTTTGGTAACTGACCTCATTTTGTTCTGTAGATGTGATTTCTGTGAATGGCAGAAAATAATGCTTAAGCTTGCTAATAAAATAAAGCTCATTACTTCTGGTTTTAAGTAGTCTCTTTTGGATACAGATCCAGAGGATTCTAAATTCACGCTCATTATCAGTGCAGTTTCTCCCCTTTCAAGGGGTCTCCCAAGGGGGCATCTGAGTGCCGGAGGCATACATGTGTTCCTGGTGCTAGTGGGATCACCTCTCATGCCTTCACTACAGACCATATTATACCCTGTGAGGTCAATTTCTTTTTTTTTTTTTTCCCCCAAAGCCCCAGCAGATAGTTGTATGTCATAGCTGCACATCCTTCTAGTTGCTGTATGTGGGACGCAGCCTCAGCATGGCCGGAGAAGCTGTTCCTTGGTGCACGCCCGGGATCCGAACCTGGGCCGCCAGCAGCGGAGCGCGCGCACTTAACCGCTAAGCCACGGGGCCAGCCGTTGAGGTCAATTTCTAATGTGCTTTTATATGGCATTGTTGGTTATGACAATCCAACTTTTATGAAGGTCCACAAAACCCCAACTAGCCCTGAGAAGAGAAAATGAGCTCCCTAAGTATGACAAAGGGCTTCTGGGCAGATTGAAGTGGGGGAGACAGGATGAGATGAATGAGCAGACCAGGGGACACCCTATTGTGGTGTCTTGGTGGGATGTTCCCTAAAGGCCACAGCACAGGCTCAGTGGCTTGAATGTGCCTGCCGGAGCGTTAAATCTTAGGTAGTAACTCAAGGAGGTTGCTCATGGTACCAGCGCCCAGGGGTGGCCCCCAGTAGTAGCCTCCTAACTGGGTTGTTCCTGTGGTGTGATCTTGGCTGTGTTCATGGTCACCAGCCTTCCTTGGTTCCTTTCCAGTTGTCAAGTCTTCTGGCCATTCTGTGAGTTCCCATTATTCTTTCTCTATAAATTAGCCAGAGTGAGCTTTTGAATTTTGCAATCAAGAGCCAAGAGGGCTACAAGCTCTTTCAGTAAATGTGAGGAGAATGGGTTTGTTGGGAGACAATTCTCCGTGGATCTTTCACATTTCTGCATGTCTTGTAAGCAGAGGCACTGACTTTTCAAGGGTGTTTATATAGTGAACAACCTTGGAAGATAGAGATGGTGTCTCTTTCGGGAGCAAAGAGTGGGTTTGCTTACTGCCTATTATAAAATATTTGGGTTCTCTAAGCTCAGGGTTCCTCTTGTAATGCAAACCACTGCTTATGCAGGTATTCATATGGCACCCGTGGGACAGTAGGGCAAGGGGAGTTGGCACAAATATGCTGATGCTACTGTGCCATGAGTAATAATGTCCTTTGTCTCTGACCCAGGAGTCTCCTGTTTTTTGGCAGCACCCATGAAACTACAGCAGGCTAACTTGCACACTTGCAAGAAGGGCAAAACTGCCAACCCTTCACAGTTCTTGACAGGTTTGCCGCCACGTGACTAGGAGATTCCTGGGGGCTGCTCTGCTCTCTCTGTCCTACGTCCCACCAACCTGCCTCCACCAACATGGAAGAGGACTGAAGGAAGAGACCCCACTCCCCTCCACCCTCAGACTTGGATGGAGGACCGTTTCATTGTTCCCTATCAGACTGACAGGCTCTCCACGTCTGGGTTAGCATCCTCTGCCCCTCTGCATACTCCTGTCTCTGCCCACACACCCACCGAAAGGCCAGGAAAAGAAGTTTCCCCAAGATTTTATTCCCTCCCCCAGCCCCAGCTCTCGCACACTCATACACAACATTCAGGAGCTACACCTGGCTCTCACCTCAGCCCTGCTTCTAATTTGACTTGGTGCCATTTCCTCTGATCCTTGGAGCTAAAGCAATGAGTTGAAAGTGGGTAGAGTGAGGAGCAGGGGTGAGGAAGCATAGGGATAGGACAGAAAGGGGAGGAGTGAAAATACTGATACAAATTAACATAATGCTTTGAGTGCTTGATGTGGACCAGGTAAAGTCTGGTACTGTACTACTATCTCTGATTTACAGATGAAGAGAGATAATATGCTGAAGGTCAGAGAGCTTTCATACTTATGTGGTAGAACTGAGATTTGAACCCAATCTGTTAAGGGCCAAAGCCATCCTCTACCCCCATTTAATGCCTTCCCAAGAAGGAAGGGGGGAACACCTGGGTTTTGAGTGTTTTATGGAGGATCTAGAAAAGGTATCACTTCCTGGGCGGAGCCCTATGCGCAGGTGAGGTTCTAGCCCCGCCCCTCATGAGCCAACAAAGGCCCTAGAGACCACACCTAGTTCTGTGGGTTCTGGGAATTCCCTCTCATCCCAGTCCCTGGTCAGGGGAAGAGGGCAGCACAGCCTTGGGAAGAATGGATAAGCATGGTGAGTGGGGCTGGAGGACAGGGCTTCTTGACTCCAGGATGGACCAAACAGCCCATCATCATGGCAACTCCAGAGTAGAACTTCAGCCTTTTCTCAATTACCCATCTATGTACAAGCCCTCTCTTCTCTCTTTCCCGAATATTCCTGAATATTCTTGACCTCTGATCCCTCATCTTCACCTGCTGCTGTTCAAACCTTTGTCTTCTCTGGTCTCGACCACTATAATGACTCCCAAGGGGGTCTCCCTCTGTCCTGCCTAAAACATAGCCCCTGTCCTAAAACATAGCTATGAGAACGTCCCCCCATCATAATGTTCAGCAGCTCCCCACGGCTGAAAGACAAATCCCAAACTCCATAGCTCAGCACCCAAAGTCCCCACCTTCCTTTCCAGCCTTGTTTCCTATTCCCCCTCCTCCCAGCACCCCTTTTTGGCTGCACACTAGGTCTGGCCTCTCACAACCAGAAGGCTCCCTAATGTGTTTTCCTGAATAAAAGTGCAGTGGACCCTGGTTCTCCACCTTTAGCAACACCAAGAACTGGCAGAATCTTTGAAACAACTTTTCTTGAAAGGTTTCAAAAGTCTTACGTAAGATTCAGAAGCCCTTCTGTTACCTACCTCATCACCTACCTGAGAGGGTTGTGAAGATGAAGGGCCACGGGGTATGAAGAGTTTAGCATGGTGATTGCACGCAGTTGGTGCTCAATACATGTGGGCTAGAACACTAATTTTATTATCATTCCCTTTTCTCTCCAGGTTGGGCAGGGATCACTAGCAATTTTTCTTGACCTTTCCAGGGCAACCCCCAGGCACCGTGTCTTCCCTGCCCTCCTCTCCCTTCTTTTCCTTACAAGTCCAGCTCCCCAGATCCAGCAGACAGCAGGGCATACGGTGGTGCTGGGCAAGTGTCTGCTGGTGAGGGCACACACCTCCCAGCCGAGGCCAGGTTACTTTCCATGTCAGCCTAGGAACTTCCTGCCTGTCAGGACTACAGCTTGGACTCGTGGAGTTTGTGCCCTGAACAAAGGCACCAGAAAGAAGGGACAGGGGTGGCTGAAATCCTGCTGGCAATTGGGGTCAAACCTGGAAGGAGGAAGAGACAGCTCTTTCTAATTGGCTCACCCCTAGGGCAGCCTTCTTCTACTTAGTCTGCCCATAAGGGGCACGTTTTCTGACTGTTTTGGCTATCGGAGGTACCTTTTTCTAATCATGCAGAGGCGGTGTGCCCACCTGCCTCTCCACTCCGCCACAGGTGATGCTGGGCTTCCTGGAGGGGCCCACTTTGAAGAAAGAAATCCCATCCAGAAAACAAAATATAAACCACCACCTATTAACATTCCAATGAGTGCACTTAATGTTTATTGACAGCCCACACAGAGATCGGTACCCACCCGATTAGAAGGAAGGCGTGATGAGCCATCATTTCCTCCGGGTTCACAGTCCTCCTGGCTACCTCCTGTTGATTGCTTCCAGCCTGCAGAGCCCGGGCCTGGGCGCTTTACACAGACGCGATCTCATCCCCGCCTCCCTTGAGACAGGCATTACTTTTTACTATTTTACAGTTGAGGAAACGGAGCTTGACAAAAGCGACGTGTCTTGCCCGGAATCCTCAGCTAGGAAGTGCAGAAATCTGGGAAGTCGGGAGCGGCCAGGCAGGGAAATCCTGCAAACTCTGCAGGATTCTGGGAGTCCTGCTGTCCCTGTGCATCTCCTACGCACCGTCCTTCGGGCGCCTGCCTTTTTGGGGGGTCGGGTTGTGGGCAACAGTCAGGGTATTTGAGCTCTTCATTGGGGACAGCGGGCCTGCGCTGACCTCCTCCCCGCCCGCCCGCAGGCGTGAAGACCCCTTTGTGGAAGAAGGAACCGGAGGAGCCCCGGGCCAGGGAGGAGGAGGCGGAGGAAGCGGAGGAGGGGTTGGAGGAGGAGGACGAGGAGAGGCTGCCGGAGGAGAGCGCGGCCGAGGGCGAGGCGGAGTGCCAGGACGCGGAGGGCGGCGAGGGCCAGCGGGACTCGGTGTCCTACTCCCCGCTGCGCCAGGAGTCCAGCACCCAGCAGGTGGCGCTGCTGCGGCGCGCGGACAGCGGCTTCTGGGGCTGGCTCAGCCCCTTCGCGCTGCTCGGCGGCCTGGCGGCTCTCGCCGACAGGTGAGGGTGCGCCCTCGGCCCGGGCGGGACGGACGTGTGCCGGGGCCCCCGGCGGGAGGGGACGGCGCGGTGGGCTGAGCGTCCAGGTCCCCGCCCGCAGGAAGCGGAGCCTCCCGGAGGAGCCGTGCGTGCTGGAGACGCGGCGGCGACAGCCGCGCAGAGGGGGCTGCGCGCGCTGCGAGATCCTTTTCTGCAAGAAATGCAGGAACCTGCACAGCCACCCGGCCTTCGTGGCGCACTGCATTCTGGAGCACCCGGATCTGGGCGAGGCGCGGGCTTCGGGAGGGGCGGGGGCCGCCGGGAGCCCCTGAGCGTCCCCACTTCCAGCCTTTGTGCCATCCATCCTCGCCTGACCCCAAACTCCCTGCAACCTTCTCCTCTCCCATGACGCGGAGCGCTCTCCAGCACATTCCACAGAACTGCCCCTTCTCAGAGCCTCCCTCCCGGAGCGCCCTCCTCAGGCAAGAAGGCCCACGATTGATGGGGCGTCCCCACCTGTCACCTAGCGCCCACCTGATGCCAAACCCAACATCACCTGGTGCTCCATTCCTCCTTAGCGCCTCCTGAGGGCTCCCGCCCCCGGGCAGCACCCAGTGCCTGCCGCCCACCTGACTCGCGTCCCCTGGCACAGCCTCACATTCTTTTGGGTATTTCAGGTCCTTCTGGCCTGACGGGCAGAGGCATCGCCTAGAGAAAATACCCTCTGGGTTCCCTCACCCCTCTGAGAAACCTGCCCCTTCCCCTCAAATCACTCAATAAAGCCTCTAATCCAAGTGTCGGTGCCTTGAGGTGGGGAGAGGCGGCTCCTCTAGCTCTGGGGAGGGTAATGAAGACAGACCTTCTTCCCCTTCCCTGAGGTTCAAGCCAGAGGGAAAAAGGGCAGGGCTAGAGCCTCCTCCCTCCGCCTCCCCCGCCCACGGACCGGGCAGTACAAAGCACTTGCATCCAAGGGCAGTCAAAGGCCATTCTCCCCATTGCGCAGAGAAGAAAATGGAGGCACAGGGCCAGGAATGCCCGTGGGAGCAGAGGGCTGAACCTTGCCAGGCCATTCTCCTCTCCCCCTGAAAGCCTGGTCTTGCTGAGGTCAATGTGTGTGCAAATGAGGTACTGGCTGGTGTGGAGGGCGCCTGGACCGGAGAACCAGATGCTAAAATGCTGAGACTGGCTGAGGCAGAAGACAGGGAGGCTGGGGAGCTGGCTCCTTCTCCAGGAATCCCAGCTATTCTTGGCCAGCCAGCAGGAGCTCCTGGAATGCTGCGTGTGTGGCCTGGAGAATGAGGCCATTGTGAGCACAGTGCCTCCCCCAGCCTGCAGAGCCCCCAGCCCTGCAGCAGTGCAGACCTCCAGAGAGGCCCCTGTCCTCTCCCTGCCACATGTGGTTCTCCATCTGGCCTGGGGGGTGAGGGGAAGCAAGGATATTTTGTTTTCTGAGGAGAAGCAGGCCCCTCTCCCCATCACAACGACACACACATGCACGCGCGCACACACACACACACACACACACACACACACACACACACAGCCCTGGCCCTGGCTTGGATGGAAGAGCATGGTCTCAGCCTCCTCAGCATCCTGCCCACCTGCTCTCCCTGGAAACCATTCCAAGGATGGCTGGTTTGCACCTCCAGGCGCTCCAGCTGGGGGCACCTCTTTATTCCAGCCCCCCACAAAAAGCCAGGGCCCAGCAAGCCTGCCTGCATCAGTCTCCCTCTTGCTCTGGGTCCTGAGCCCCCTCAGGGCCTCTGAGGTTGGTGACCCTTGAACCCAACCCATGCAGGCTTCCTGGGGGTGGGGCCTCTGATTAAATAAGGCACAGTTCTCCAAGGACTCAACCAAGAGGTCTTGAGGGGAAGGGGACACTCTTGCAAAATGGTCCCAACCTCTCTGTTGAGTTTTGCATCCTCCCTGGTTGCCCAGTGCTGCTGCCTTATAGACAGAACTGCACCTTTAGCAGAAGAAACAAAATCCCCCAAGCTTGAGGAGGAAAGAGTCCTTGGGGAAAGGGCCGTGGGGTCTGAGACCCTTTTTGGTTTCTCCTCGGATTGATCCCAGCCCCACCTCCCTGTGGTGGGGACAGCACAAAGACAACGCCACATTCCCCAGGGAACAAACGCAGACAAACTTCCCTGCCGGGTCTTCTGCAGGGAGGCTCAGAGCTTCCAAGACAGCTTCTGCCCCTGGGGCAGGGGACACAAGTGGGCCAGGAGGGCACCAACAGTTCACTAAGAGGTGGGGGTGCCTTCAGAACAGGGCGCCCCCTGAGTTGGCGTGCCAGCAGCCCATCCAGGGCAGCTCTGTGGCCCAGGGGCCCGAGGCGGTGGCCTGCAGTTTAGCCTGGTCGATGCGCCAGTAGCGGTCATCTCTGAAGAAGATGATGGAGCCGTCGGGCCGGGGCAGGGCGCCACTGACCTCCTCAGGGACACCACCCCAGTCCCGCAGGCCTCGGGGATAGTAGGGCTCCACCTGTAGCCCCCCTCGGGCCAGCACATAGTAGCGGGCACCCTTGAAGAGGACGAGGCGGCTCAGAGGAGGGAAAAAGAGAGCCGCGTCGGGGTGTCGGGGCAGGCCGCCTGCCTGGCACAGCTGTGGCGAAGCCCACACTGGCTTGGGGCCCTGGAACCTCCAGCATCGACTCCCTGTGGGGCATTGGGAGAGCCAGGGTGAGCCGGCGGCTCTCGCCCTTTGGTCCTCCACCCCACCTCTGTCCCCCATACCTCTACTTGCCCTCTCGTTGGAGCCCTAGGTGGTTAGTATTCACGATAATCAAAATGGATCACATTAAAAATTAGTTATAAACAGTAGGGGAGGGACTGCTGTGGCCTAGACTTCCAACAGGTGTCAGCAGAGGGCAGATAGCGCTGAAGGAGCCTATCTACCCTTCCCTGGGGAGCAGGCCCCCTCCTGGGTGAGGAAAGAAGGAACCCAAGGAAGGCCAGGGGCTTCCTTCACAACCAGGACTACTACCAGTTCTATGAGGGCAGGGAGTTTTGTTTTGTTTTTACTCTTGTATTCCAACACCACCAACCGTGTCTAGTGAATAGAAGGCACTCAATATCTGTTGAATGAATGAATGAACTCTATTTCCTGGAGTAATATATTGCGCACTTCTCAGACATTATGTTCTCTTAATCTTCCTTCCCCAACAAACTTGAGGGATTATTTCTCCCATTCAAGAAATTCAAGCTCCAAGAGTTAAGTGACAAGCCCAACCTCACACAGCCAAGATTCCAAGGAAGGTACCATTCTCCGCTGAACTGCAGAGCTCAGGAGTGGTTCTCTGCTTCCCTCCAGACTCTTCTCTCAAACTCTCCCACCCTCTCTCTCTGGGACAACCTTGACACATTTCCCGCCCCCCCCCATCCATCCCTGAAGGAATGTCCTGGCAGAGTTCCCTGGGGCCAGAGGTTCAGACTGGAATTGAGACTCCTTCCTTCTTTTGAACCTGAGCAGGTCACCTCTCCTCTCTAGGCCTCAATTTTCTCATCTGCCCCAGGGCTGGTACCTTTGAAGAAGTAGAAGTCTCCATCCTCCAGTGACACTGCTGCTGCCTCAACGTGGGGGGGCAGCCCAGGCCACCTTTCCTGTAGTGGGTGGGGCTCCGAGACATTGCCATCAGCTGTCACCTCCCAGAAGTGGCTCCCTTGAAAAATGTACAGTCGCTGCTGCCCGTCTGCCGGGAGACAAGAGGGAGTTGAGGAGTGACCATCAGCCTCCTGCCTTCCTTCCAGGGAAGGTGCTTTTCTAGAACCCAACTTCCCCAAGTGACCAGAGAGGATGTAGTGTGCACAGCTGGCGGAGGGGAAAATGCACAGGAGGAAGCAGTGTTTTGCTTGGTGTGGGCTTGCTGCCCACACCGAGAACGCTTGTGGCTTGGGATATCTGGATCTTATCATTCATCCCCCCCCCACCTTATACTCCAGCTCTGGAGACCCCCTGGAGATGTGGGGGAGGAGGGAAGAAGGAGGTGAGGCGTGGGTGGGACCATCTTACCTACAGTGATGGCATCGAAGGATGAGTGGCAATATTTAGGACCTTGGGTTTCAGGTCGCCTTCCCTGGGGTCTGTGGGGGTCCCAGGCCTCAAAGTCAGTGAACAGCTTTCCTGGGAGCTGGATGGCCACTGAGCCCCCCTGGGGCTTCCCTTCATGGGGAAGGAGAGAAGAGGGAGAGAACACATACTGGTTGTGGGGGGGTGTTGAGGGCTCAAGACCTCCCCCTTGGCTCCTTTTATCATTATCTGATACGAGGGGCAGGGAAGGAGAGCAGGGGTGGGGGGTTAAGAGTTATCCTTGGTTGTTGGTATTAACCATAGCACTAAACTCAGAAGTCCTCTCTCCTACCGAACAGTCTGGGAAAGAGGAACCTACTGAGATAAAATTGGAGTGGGGGACCAAACAAGGGTTTGGAACTAAGAAGGCAGAGGATCCTCTTCTCTGAGTCCTGGGCAACACAGATGACATGAGGGCAGAGTTCAGGGGCCTGGGCTGTAATAATTACAGCAATTATCTTAATGACATTACTATACTTATGAGAGTGAGGCAGAGTCCAACAAGCTTAAAATTTGGCACCAGCTCCTGAATCCTGGTCTGCAACTTCTTAGCTGTGTGACCTTGGATAAGTTACCTAATCTCTCTGAGCCCCATTCACCTCATCTGTGAACAAAAAGGTACTTACCTCATGGGTGTGTTGTGTGTTAAGTGCCTGGCCCATGGTAGACACTCATGAAATTGCAGCTGTTATTATTACATTTGTGTGGGTTTCTTAGGCTACAAAGCATGTTCATACCCACGAGTACAACAGCCCTGTGAGGTAAGCAGGGCCTCAATTATTATCCCTTTTCTCAGAAGGTACAACTGAGGGCTCTCAGGGGGGAAATGCTTTGCCCAAGAGCAACTGCTAATCAGGAAAGGAATGATGACTTGAACCCAGGGCTCCTGGCCCCGCCTCTGCACCCGGCACTCTGAGGGAGACAGCCCCGGGCTGAGGCAGGCCTGGGGTCCAGGCAGGTCCCTGGGCAGCAGCACTGGCCAGTTTATTCCGCAGGAGAAGGCCTTGTCTGAGTCCACCGCCGGGCAGAGGCCCAGGCTTGGGCAGAAGTGGGCATCAGCGTCATGGAGGAGGGAGGTTGGGGGATAGTAAGCAGGACTGGGAGCAGGAATGAAGGGTCTGGGAGGGGGGAAGAGGTGGGGCCGAGGATTGGGTCTGGGTGATGGGGCAGGGATGCGAGAGGAACTGCCGAGGGTGGGGATGGGGCGGGAAGCAGGACTTGGAAGGCGAAGGGGCGCTGTGCACAGGAATTGGATGGGATTGCTAGAGGCGGGGCATGCGGGATCAGGAGCCCGAGGTTTTTCAGATTTGAGGGGAGCCTGAGGCTTCAAGACCGGTGACTGGGAGGCCAGATTCCTGAGCTTACGATGGGGGATCCTATTAGAGAAACCGGTGTCCAAACACTAGAGGCGCGGGGTGGGGGTGCAGGGGTGCGACTGGTTGCGGGCGCGGCTGGGGGCTCACCATACAGGGTCTGCACAGCCAGCACGTCGTCCCAGCTGAGCAGCGCGTCGCGGCCCAGCCTCTTGTAGTAGGGCGCCATGAGCGCGCGCGGCGCGGGCGAGTGGGTCAGGCCGAGCGTGTGGCCGATCTCGTGCGCCAGCACCACGAACAGGTTGCGCCCGCGGCGGCGGCTCAGCGACCAGCGCTCGTCTCGGTCGAAGTGCGCTTCGCCGCGGCGGGGCAGGAAGGCGTGCGCCAGGGCGCCCCCTGCAGGCGGCGCAGAGGGTCAGGGGAGCCACTGCCCGCGACGCCCCCAAGTTCCCACCGCCCGGCGCTAATGCCATTGGGGCGTGTGTGGCTGTTTTCTGCTACATAATTTCCCTCCTAATTAAGTCTAGCAGAAGCTGAAGTGTGGAGCAGGGAACACATGACTAGGCTGTGGGGTATGGACGCCTAAGAGGCAACGTGGCGTACACATAGCATGGGGCCAAACTGCCTGGGTTCCAATCCTGGTTTTACCATTTACCAGCTGTGTGACCTTGGGCAAGTAGCTTAACCCCTCTGCGTCTTAGCTTCCTGATCTGAAAATAGGAATGATGATAATGAGTTTCTTCCTCACAAGGTTGTTTTGAGAATTAAAAAGGGATGTGTGTATATGTGTATGTCACATATAAGACTTAGCGCCCAGCACATAATAAATGCTACATAGGAATTATTTTCAAAAAGATCTAGGAGTAGGTATAGTGGTTACCCCAGAAGGGGGCATGATGGGACCTTCTGGAGTGTTGGTAATGTTGTTTCGTGATCTGGGTACTGGGTGTGTTTATGCGTATGCATAGTTTCTTTAATAAAAAGCATATATCCTATATATTCTTGCGTTCTTGCCTTCCCTCTGCAGGTCTCTACCTCCTGCTTGTAACAGGAATGAGCAGAGGGAGTTGGGCTGCATCAGTGATTCTCCAGCTTGCAGCATGCCACAGATGGAGCTCATCAGTTATGCGGTTTCCAGGACCCCACCCCTCACAGTTCACTTTCCACAGGGGCAGAGGTCAGCACACTGCACGGGGGAAATGTTGGCTTAGAAGCTTGTTGAGGGCTCCTCCAGCATTGCCTTCTTGGAGGCCAGGCTCATGGGGACTGACAAAGGTTGCGAGACCGCCGTTAAAGGAGAGCCTCATGGGGCATGGAGAGTTGGTCATGTGAGGGGGAACACGTCTCCTGTTTTGAATATGCCTCAAGCTGTTTTGAGCAATGTTAGTCCTTTCCGTTCAACTCTGACAATAATCCTGGGAGACAGACGGGCAGGTTTCAAAGGGAGAAAACCTAAACTCAGAAAGACAGAGCACCTGTCCCAAATCAGAGAGCTGAGTCCCAGGTCAGTGCTGTCTCAGTTATCAGATTCTATCTGGGTATGGATATAAACATCTCGTGTAGATATCATGGGTGAAGTGAGTTACGTGCAAGCACCTGTGTGTGCCACATGTGGATTCTTAAAAAGCTTAGATTTCTTCCAGTCCTACCCTGGTCCCGGCAGCCGGGCCTGAAGTGGGCTTTGCTCTGAGTGGACTTGACGGAAAGCAGGAGAGTGCAAGGCAGGTGGGGCCTGAGCTCCTGGGCCACACAGGGCTTACGTCTCCACCTTGAAGGGCTCCAATCAGGTCTCCTTTCCTCATTCGCGGGGAGGAGATGCACAGACAGCTCTCATTCAGGTTCTGAAGGCCAGTATTGGGGAGAATGGGAGGAGAGCAGCTTAAACTGCAGCCATAAGCCCTTTAGCTTGGGGGCAACCAGGAGAACTGTCTGGGGCTGTGGGGATGTGAAGCACTTCCGTGGCAGGCAAGGGGTAGAATGCTCTCGCCCCATGGCAGTGACTGTGGTAGTGGGTGCGGGAGGGCAGGAGTGGGGCAGTGGTGGCTTCTGGATGTTTTTAGGGGCTTGGTTTGGAGAACATCCACTCCTGGAGAACAAGAGAGGCACAGGCCTGTCTAGAGGCAGGGGATGGATGATGGGACCTCGGAAGGTTCTCCCAGAATAGACAGTACTCTTTAGTTTGCAAAGCACTTTCCATGCAGAACCTCATCTGGCTGTCCCCTCAGCCACGTGATGTATAATAGGGCAGGGACCATCGTTCCCATTCTACAGATGAGGAGACTGAGGGTTCTTTGGAGGGGGATACAGCTTGGCCAAGGCTAAAGGGAGAGTGAATGCTCCATTGCCCTCCCTAGACTGCCTCTGCTAGCTGGGTGCCCCTCCTGCCGTGTGGGAGAGAGGCTCTGTGTCAGCACCTGGGCCATCGAAGGCGTTGCCCAGCCCGTCATTGTGGTCCCCTTGGAAGAAGGTGAGGCGGATGTCAGCAGGGCCTGTGCCTGGGGCCTCCCAGAACTCCAGCGCCGACACGTTGCTCCACAGCTGGAAGGCGGCGCGCACAGCCCCCCGGACGGCCGACTCTGGCAGGTGCCGGGGCCAGTTCACCAGGCGGTAGGAGAGGTGCTGCTTGTACCACTTGTTGCCTGCCACCCAGACAGGCCATGTCAGTCATACCTGCAGAACCTGGGACTGGTCCCCATGGCCCTGGATGATGGGGAGATAGGCCCTCCGCCAGGGAGTCCCTGATCTGATGGAGAAGACACAGCCCTTGCCCTGGGAAGCCCTACATTTGGCTGGGGAGACGCTGCTCTTGGATAGACAGGACTACCCTTGTCCCGGAGAGCCCCCAGCCTAGTGGCTTGGTCTGGGGAGGTCGTAGTATGATGGGGGAGATGCAGCCTTGCCCAGGAAAAGCCCCCAACCTGAAAAACTCTCTGGTCTGGAGTCTTCTTCTCTACAGCCTGGGCTGAGCCTGAAAAGCACTCTGCTCCTCTTGCTGGCAGCAGATCCCAGGCCCTGCCTACCATGTCCGGATGGAAGAGAGGTGGGGCCACCAGGGCCCAGCCGTGACGGCCCCCTCGCCCCTTCCTCCTCTCCACCTCTCACGCCCTCCTGCCGCCTCCCTTTCCAGAGCCTCGGGCCTCCTGCTGACAAGTGACCACAAGACCCATTTATTCGAGGTCCTTCCCTGACCCCTCAGCCTCCCCCTACTTCCTCAGGGACTCTGGAGGGCTCTGAGGTGAAAACAAATAAGAACAAAGGGTGTGTTTTGTCACTGAGAGAGAGAAATTTCTCCATCTCCACTTAGTTAAGAGTTTCTAAAGTTCCTTTGCCCAAAACTGCAGTTCCTGCCTGAGAACTGAGACTCTGGCCTCTTGCCTGAGCCCCAGGTCAACTGGTCCCTCTGCAGCTCACCACGCCCCCAGGACCAGAGAGCTTAGAAGGTCCAGATCCTGAGATTTTCATGGGCCATTTCTGAGCCCTGCGAGCTCAGGGGCCAAGATTGTGACTCCAAGTGGAAGACTCACAGCTCAGGGGCAGGACTTCTGGGCCCAGGGAGGGCACAAGAATCGTGTCGTCTTTTGGGCTTCAGTTTCCCAAATGGACCAGATCCCTGGGGCATGGATGATGAGTGGACAGGGCAGGGAGGCCAGGCCAGCGGGCAAAGCCCCCTCTCCCCTTGGAGGGGCAGTTGAAGTTTCAGACCTCCTGCCCCTTTGTCCTGGGGAAGTCCTTGCCCGGACCAGGCAGGAGGAGTGAAGTCATAGAAGCCTGGCCCTCTCCTTATCCAACGTGTCTGTGCTCTATTTTGGGGAAATTGAGACTGGGGGAAGGGACCTGCTCAGAGTCACAGAATGAGTGAGTAGCCAACCGAGGCCCTGAGCCCAGGCCGACACCTAATCCAGGGCTCTTTCCACTATTACCACACGATAGGCAGGCACATTTGCTAAGACTCAAGGCTCATAAATTTGCCTAAACACCACTTCTTTGGGTCAAAGCAGAGGCTCTGCAGGAGCTGAAATTCTCCAGATGAAAGGGAGGGTCTAAGAGAGCAGAGGAGCTGAGCGTCTTTTCCTCCCTCCATCCCCCATGGGAGTCGGGGAGGGGAATGTCCCTTCTCCCACCCCTGAGCCAAGCTCCATTCAAGGCAATGCTGCCTCCTCGGGGCCTGTCTGGCCTGGCGGCCACCCAACCCCTCCCGGCCAGTGACCAACCCTCAGGGAGGGAAAGAGAGGATTCTAAGGAAGGGAGGGAGACAAGGAAGGCGGAGGGAAGGCCTGGAGCTCAGAGGCGCCGCCCACCTAAGGGTTCATTATGTGCCAATAACACTTCTAGTTGCATTCTAAGTCTTCACCCGGCCCTGGACTGGCTGGTACTGGGCTCCTTCACACCCTGCTGTGGGTGACCAACTCCCAGACTCTCCCCACAACCTTCAAGCTTCTAGAAAAGTGTGAGGCAGCTCCTTCTGCCTCTTTGCAGCGAGGGAGGCCCCTCACTCCACAGGCAAGAAAGGGGGAGGGTGGGCGATTCTTTCACTCTAGGTAGCCAGTGAAGGTGACAGCTCACAGGATAAAAATCTTCTGTGAAACTGTGTGTGTGTGTTTTGGAGAGAGGATAGGGAAGACAAATAAGAACAGGAATTGAGAGAAAATGACTAATTTTCCTTGGGAGGGGAGCCGGGCGGAGGGTCGTTGGTGTGCCTGCCAGGAAGGAAGGACCTGCCCCGTCCAGCAGCCTGAGCCCTCTCCCCTGTCTTCTCCCAGATTTGTGTCCTTGCACGAGGCTGGCCAACTTCAGGCCCCCTCACAAACTCCTGGCCTGGCAGGGCTGGTTTCCATGGTGACGTCCAGGCTACAGTAGCACCTGGCACTGCACGCCCCACCCCCCACCCCCACTTGCTCCAAAATCTAAAAGGGAAGAGAGAAGGGAAACAAGGTGGGGAGGGGAAGAGAGCTAGACTCCTTGCCTGGGGAGGACCCTGGATTCCTGACTCCCAAGAGGTAACTGATACTGTGGAAAGAACAAGGGTTGGAATCCCAGGAGCCCTGCTTACAACCTTACAAGACAAATTATGGAACCTCCGCAGGCCTCAGTTTCCTTACCTGCAAAGTGGGCTTGATAAGACCTGTCTCCTGGTAAAAATGAAATAGCAAATGAAATAGCAATGTGAAGCTGCCTGGCGTGTGGTGAGTGCTGAGTAAATATCCATTCCCTTCTTCCTTTCCCACCCCAGAATCACCCCTGTGCTCCCTACCCCTCCAGCTCTGTGAGGGAGCACGGGGATTGAAAATCATTCCTGCGGGCCCAGAGGGAGCAGGTGCTTGGAATGAGGTTGCCTGATTTAGCAAATAGAAATATGGAATGTCTAGTTAAATTTGAATTTCATATAAACAGCTAATGATTTTTTTAGCGTATGTGAAAACAAAACAGTTATCTGTTGTTCATCTGTAATTCAAATTTAACTGGGGGCATCCTCTGTTTTATCTGGCAACCCTACCCTGCATAGCATTCACCCACATAATGGAAAATCGGCCAGCCCAGGAATCCACTTCATTTTTGAAGCACCTACCCAGGATCTGGGATTTTTCCTATCTAGAATCTCAATCCTCCCAGTGACAGGAAGGCTTGGCCACACCCTGGCTATGTGGCCCTGGGAAAGTTGCCTAAGCTCGTTGTCCCTCAGTTTGCCCATCTGTAAAATGAGGATAATAATGGTACCTATCTCATAGGTTTGTTATGGGATTAAATGAGTTAATCCCTTTAGAACTGTGCTTGGCACATCATAAATGCTCAGTAAGTGTTAACTGTCATTATTACATTTTCTTTCCTAAGACATAGGAAATGCTCAGTGCCTGCCAAGTCCTCAGCTCCTTTCTAGGGAATGTCTTCCCACCCAGGAGATGAAGTCAAATTGCTGTGTTTCATGTTGTGAACAAGAGGGAAATTCTCTGTCTCACCTGGCCACTGCTGTCTGGACCAGGGGATCAGTGTCAGACAATGAAATGGGGCTAAGCTGGTAGGCAAGGCCACCCGCCTGGGAGATGGTTCAGTATGAATCTCTGTCTAAAAGGGACGCTCCAAATTGGATAGTGACAAACGGACTAGATCAGATCCTCCCATGAGGCATGAGAAGATGAGATGCTGGCAGAAGGAAGCATCCCTTGTGCTCAGGTCACGCCCTGAATGCTGGGGAGGCATTGTCCCAATTCTCCCAGACACCAACTCTAGCCTGGAAGGGCCGCTGCTGAGACTGTGTCAGGAGCTGCCCCACTTGCCTCTGTATTCTCACAAGCAGCCCCTTCTCCTGGGTAATCAGGGACCGTCTCTCCTTTGCAATCTGAAAGGGCCTCAGATGAGGAAACAGAGCAAAGTGACGTCGTCCGGGTCAACAGCTGAACCCAGAGGCCCAGCTCCAGGGACATTGCTCCAGCTCACGCTTCTCCTCTGTTCCCCTCTGCTGTCCAGAAACACAGTGGGACGCAGAACAGGTTGACACCAGGGACATCTTGACCTCAGAATATGGACCCCATCACTGCCTCCTTGCTTTATCAGGAACGTGGCTGGTCAGTACTGGGGACCCAGAGTGGCTGGATGTGTAGACACAGCGGAATTGGATTGGCACACACTTGGAAACAGCCACCGTCAACAGCTGAGGGGAACCGCCTACAATTTCCTCAGGATTAGCTAAGAAATAAAAACAAACTATATGCCCTCTGTCCTGTTCATAATGGATATTGTCAGTAAAAGTAGTTCACACAAATTAAAAAAGGCAATGGCTGAAAGTACTCATAGTAATAATAATTATAGATGAAAACCTGACTGAACACCCTCATCTGGTTAGAAATCTCAAAAACTGTGAAAATTGATCACAGAAAATTAGACTTAGTACAAACAAGATGTTAAAATTGCACACAGTAAAACTTGATATTGGTGGGGAATCAACGAAGAATCAAATCTCCTTTTCATGAATCTTAGATCTGTAACATTTGACCCCAGAAGATTGGATTTGGACAAAGAAGGAGGAAGAGGAGGAGGAGAAGGGAAGAAAACACCAAAACGACAAAAGGAAAATCACAACAGCAGAAACTGTAATGCGTAAAATGTGCTATGATGAAATGTTCAGAACAGGCAAATCAATAGAGACAGAAAGTAGACTGGTGGTTGCCAGGGGCTGGGGGAGGGGGACTGGGGAGTGACTGCTAATGGGTATGGGGTTTCTTTTTGAAGTGATGAAAATGTCCTGGAATTAGATTATGGTATTGGTTGCACAACTTTGCAAATATACTAAAAGCCACTGAACTGTACACTTTAAATGGGTAAATTGTATGGTATGTGAAATATATTTCAATAAAGCTGTTAAAAAATGTGCTATGGGGGCCGCCCCGTGGCATAACAGTTAAGTGCGTGTGCTCTGCTTCGGCAGCCCTAGGTTCGCAAGTTCGGATCCCAGGCGCGCACTGACGCACTACTTGTCAAGCCATGCTGTGGCGACATCCCACATAAAGTAGAGGAAGATGGGCACGGATGTTAGCTCAGGGCCAATCTTCCTCAGCAAAAAGAGGAGGATTGGCATTGGATGTTAGCTCAGGGCTGATCTTCCTCACAAAAATAAAAAAAAGTGCTATGGACAAAATAAAACTGATCGATGATTCACGTTTGTTGAACAGTTCTTACGAAAGAAGAATCGATTCTGATTAAAATAACTTCAGTAAAATATAAAGGAAAATGTTGGCAACAGTTTAACTGCCCTGCACAGCAAATTGATCAAGGAATTAAGTGGGCTTGATGGGGTTTGCTCTGGAAAATGCTTGCACGATGAAAATTCATCGATGTAGGTTCACTTCTGATTTAAACGTCTATGTTCACAAACATGGTCCTCAAGTGGACGGGTCCCATTGCGTCCCCCTCTCCCACCCTAGGGAAGAGGTTACTGACAAAGCCCAGTGAGAGGCTGAGCTGTTTCTTTTCTGGCCATGGGGCTACAGGATGTTGGAGAACCCCAGCTTGGCTAGATTTTAACAATGCTCACCTTGCTTTGCAAAGCGTTTCTTACGCCTCATTTTGGCCCGGTGTCCAGCAAACAGAGCACTGACCCTCTCGGTCCAGGCCGCCTGACTGTCAGTATCTGCAACCCCGCATCGGGGCCGCGTCATCTGGCGCAGGGTGGCGGGGTCCAGCACGCCACTGACCGGCAGCTGGGACACCCACTGGAACTCCCTGTCAGGAGGAACTGAGATAAAGGACCACAAAGGGAGGGTGGGTGATGGGGGTGAGGGCAAGGAGCTTCCCTGGAGACAGCAGGAGGCTGGGTGCAGGGGAGGGAGGGAGCAATGACCTCCTGGACACACGTGGGAGGTGAGGCTTCCAGGAGGAGGAAGGAGGAGAACCAAGCTTTGCACTGCAGCACCCCACATCCTCTACATCCCTCCATCCTACCTGATGGCATTGCTGAATTGCCTGGAGGTGGGAGCTTTGGAGACCTGTTCATTGAGATATCCATACTTCTCCAGGAATGCCTGGGGGAGAGAGGAATGTCAGCTTTTCCCACTGTGTGGCATCTGTTCCTCTCCCTTGGTCTCCAAGGGTCCGTGGCACATATATCGTGCCCAGTCTCATCTTTAGTCCTTTTAGTGTCTATGAGCTGTAGCAGACAGAGTCCTGGGATCAAAGTCAGAAGGACCTGGACTCAGTTCCAAGCCACCACTGATCAGCTGGATGACATTGGGCAAGTCACTCAATATTTCTGAATCATAGCTTGCTTAATTCTAAAATTGGCCAAGCAGTCCCTACCCTGCCCATCTCATGGTGTGGTCCGGAGTCTGGCAGAGAGTGCTGGACAGTAGAGTTATGGGTTCTGGAGTCAGGCTGGCTTGGGTTTAAACCCCAATTAGCAAGCTATTTCTCTACACGACAGATTTCTTATCTGTAAAACGGGCTTAGAAATAGTACCTACCTTGCAGGTTTTTTTGTGAGGATTAATCACAATAGTGAATATAAAACACTTAACACAGTGCCTGTACTAGCAGGGGCTCCATACAGAGTAGCTGTTATAATACGTGTGATGTAAATATACACGATCCATGTGCTTCAACTCTGCTCCTGAACCTCTCACCTCTCTAGGAAGTTTCTCTCTATTGGTCAGCAGTTGAGTTAATCACCTGTCAGCTCTGCCGCACCTGGATTGGAATTATTATTATTTTTTTTTTGTGAGGAAGATCAGCCCTGAGCTAACATCCATGCTAATCCTCCTCTTTTTGCTGAGGAAGACCGGCTCTGAGCTAACATCTATTGCCAATCCTCCTCCTTTTTTTTTCCCCAAAGCCCCAGTAGATAGCTGTATGTCATAGTTGCACGTCCTTCTGGTTGCTGTATGTGGGACGCGGCCTCAGCATGGCCGGAGAAGCGGCGCACCGGTGTGCGCCTGGGACCCGAACCCGGGGCCGCCAGCAGCGGAGCGTGTGCACCCAACCACTAAGCCATGGGGCCGGGGATTGGAATTAATTATCTCTCTGATTCTGGTTTCTTCCTAAACAATTCTCCTCCCCTCAAATGCAGATATATTTAAGGTCCTATGAATAACAAATGCACTTACCTTCAACTCTATGGTTTATATAAAAACTTGACTCTCTGGAGAAGTATTTTTTGAATTAGAAACCTGCAACTTCCTCCTTTCATTGATTCATTCGTGAATTCCTATGAGGTACTAGGTACCTGCCAGGTGCAATGATCAACAAGACAGCCCTAAAGGAGCTTATATACTTGTGGATAGAGACAGACAATAGAAACATAGATAACAAATAAATAAAGGAGATAGTTTTGGTGCTATAAAGAAAACAACCCCAGGGATGTGAGTGAGAATAACTTAGAAACTTTACCTCAGGAAGTCAGGGAAGGACCCTCTGAAGAGCTGACATTTGATCTGGGTCCTAAAGAATGAGAAGTCGTAGCCATGTAATGAGGCGGGAAAGGGCGTTCAGACAGAGGGAGCGGCAAATGCAAGCCCCGAGCTAGGAAATACGCTGCTGTGTTTCAGGAACAGAAGGAAGGCTGGAGCACAGTAAGAGTGAAGAAGGCGGGCGTGTGATGAAGTCAGAGAGAGAGGCAGGACTGTCAGCCAGGGTAAGAAATGTGCATTTTATTTATTGATGATGGATTAATTGTGGGGAATGAAAGAAAGGGAGGAATCAGGATGGCTCCTAAATGTTTGCTTTGGAAGGTGATGCCATTTACTGTCTGAAGAAGCTTGAGGGAGGAAGAGATGGGGTCTGATGGGAATGAGATTAATGCGGTGATGTCAAGTGGCACTCGCTGGCTGAGGCTGGCGCTCAAAGGAGAAGCCAAGTCTTCCAGCACGTAGATGATGTGAAGCTGTGGATCTGGACGAGATCCCCCCCAGAAAATCAGAGACTATCCCACGGCCCAAATGCCTTTTACTCACTGCCTGCCTTCACATACCTGGAAGCTGCTCTCTCAGCGACCGAGTTCTTGGAGGCCAGTGGAGAGACACGTGTGACTCATTGTCCTTACCGATCCCCAGTCCTACCCTTCCGAGAGATGATGCACTTGGATCCCTGCTTGCCCTTCTCACTGATAAAGACTCATCAATGGATTTAAAAAAGAAAGTCACCTCGACTGCTTAATTCTTATACAAGACACACACCATCTCTTCATTTGTACCGCTCCTTGCTGTGTTACCTATACAGAAAAAATTTTCTGTCTTCTCTGTGCCCTTACTCACTTTTCTTTGCTGTATTTCTAAACTCAAATCAACTCCAATCATAGCTGTTGCCTCAAGGAAAAGGCACAAGCTGGGAATGAAACCAGGCACTAAGAGCCAGGATGGGCAAGCCCTCAGCCTTTGCAAGAATCCAGCCTCCTCTTTGTGGATTTCATTACGTCCATCTTCAGTGACCTCCGCATCTTCTCAATAAAGCCACTTTCTATAAGGAAAGCTTATTCTAAGCAACAGAACACTTTCAAGTCCATTGTATTGTTTTTCTGCATAAATTTCTTAGTATTTCAGCATTGTTTTCCTTTTTCCCTTTGCAAATGTACACTGTTTTGGGATACATAATAGATTAGAGGAGTTCTAGTGGCTTTATCTGGAAGACTATTTACTGCTCAAAATAGTGCGGCATCATGGAATAGCCACCAGGCTTGGAATCAAGAATCTCTTCCCCACTGTGACTCTGTTGGGTGGCTGGGGATAAATTACTTACCCTCTCTGAGTCTCTGTTTCTTCACCTACAATGTGAGAACAAGAATAATCCCACAGGATTCTCAGAAAGATTAAATGAAGCAATGCACATTTAGCATAGGGCCTGGTCTACAGTAAATGCTTGGTAAACAGTTGATCTAGTTGATTTACCTTAGAGGGAAAATTAACAACAGACTTTTGGAACACAACCCATCTGTGAGATGGGAACTGCTTTGAACAAGGCAGTTACACTTCTGTTCTCCATTCAGATGCTCTATCTCAGACCTGCCTCACCCCAGCCAGGTGCCTGGTTCTCTTCCTTGTGTCCTTGTGGGGATGGAGAATGACTTTCTAAGGAAGCCATGTCTCCTTAATGTCTCCTTAGAAGCAGTTTCGCTGATTGAGTGACTTGGGAGAGACTGGGTCACAGGCCAACAGGCTGGCACTCCCTGTGCCCCTCCCCCCAAACCCGCCCAGCCCTTATCAGGGAGTTGGCTTTGGTTCTGGAACTACGAAGCCTTGGACAGAGGGGGTGGGGGGTGGAAATTGACTAGTGGCGTCTCCTGTTTCCTGCCTGGGCTGCCATGCCTGGTACTTTGGCAGGCAAGGTGGGGTGGAGGGCAGGACAGGGGTGGAGGATTTTTCAGGGGTCCATCGGAGGGGCAGCCCTGGGCCTTTCTTCCTGACTCCTCTGGGACCCTGTGGGCTGCAAGGCAGAGCTGAATTCCCAGTAGGCAGAGTGAGCTGTGTCCAGGACGCCAGCCAAGAGACAGCGCAAGAATGAGAAAAAGAAATTTTAAGAATTTGGCATTTTGTGTTTCCGTAAAAGCACTGAAGCATTATAATGGGGATTATCGGGACTGAAGGGCTCCCTTATACTTATTTTGTGTTTAATATGCACATATTTAAAGTTTTTTTAATTTCAAGGAAGGGGCCTCTTAATACCGCCAGTGCTGAGTGCTCTAAAGTTCTGCTGAGGCAGACCCGCATCCCTGGGTGGGGAGCAGGTAGGGTTGAGACGCCCTCTGCTCCTGCAGCTGTCCCTAACCCTCTTCTGTGAGCCCATTTGCCGTGCCTCAGTTTCTCCTGCAAAGGTGAGAGGAATGCCTTTAGTTTGCATGGGAGACAGGGCAGGGCTATGGGGCAGGCCACAGCGTGGCAAAGGGATGCCTGGAGAAGATGAAGAACTGGAAGGTTCTCATCCCAACTTGACACTAACCACCTTAGAGGAGTCATGTCCCTTCCAGGCTGCAGTTTTCCTGGGGGTTGTAACTGTGTTCTTTTTTTTTTTTTTTAAATAATTTTTATTTATTTATTTTTTTCCCCCAAAGCCCCAGTAGATAGTTGTATGTCATAGCTGCACACCCTTCTAGCTGCTGTACGTGGGACGCAGCCTCAGCATGGCCGGAGAAGCAGTACGTTGGTGCGCGCCCGGGATCCGAACCTGGGCCGCCAGCAGCGGAGTGCGTGCACTTAACTGCTAAGCCACAGGGCCGGCCCCTGTAACTGTGTTCTTTTAGGGACTCCCTAAGCTCCACCTGGGGTCACCCCGCCCCCTTCATGGAGGCAGGGCCCAGGCTGCCCTTCTCTGCCTTGCAACACCAGGTGTTCTCCACCCATCCTGTCTCCTGGGGAGCCCAAGGGCTTGAGCTGAACGGAGAGGAAGCTAGAGGGCTGTGCCCCTTCAGTGATTCATCCTGCTTGGGCCTAAAAGCTTGTGCCAACCTGCCTCACCCAGTAGGTCAGGGCTGGGGCCACTTTCCTGAGCAGTCGCCTCTGAAAAGCCCTGGGAGTGGCTGAGGTGTCTGGGAAAAATGAAAATGGTTCTCCCCAGGATCCAGAAAGCTGAGTGGAATCCGAACTCTGGGGGTTCTAGTCCTGCATCTGTCCTGACTTGTTATGGGAGGGTGTGTAGAGTTCAGCCCGTTTAGTGCCTGAGAGAAGGGGAAATTCTGGTCATTTCTGAGCAGAGCAAGACTAGCAATCAGGTGCAGCAAAATGAATCCAGGCCTGAGTCAAGAACTGAGTCACTGGCCTGGCAGGGCAAGAACATTAGGCTGAGTGTCTTGAGTTTTATTCCTGGTGCTGCTGCTAACTGTGCGTCCTTAGGCAAGTCTAGTGCCTCTCTGGGCCTCAGTTTCCTCTTCTATAAAATGAGGGGTTGGATTAGAGCTAAGATATACTTCAGCTCCGTCTCTTATGCCATCCTTGCTTCTGCAACTGATTAGCTGGGTGACCTATGACAAAGTTACTTAACCTTTCTGTGCCCCAAAGTATAAAATGGGGGTAGGAATACTGCTTTATGTTTCTTACAGGACT